TTTCCCCATGTCAATGATGTCGATTGAAACATATTCACCAGGGCCTTCAGAAAAAGGAACCGGTTTGAGCAAACCAAAGGGTTCCTGTCGGTGGATTGTTCCTTTGATGGACTTGACAACTTCCTACAAACTTCCCAGCAGATCCTTTTATACCAGGCCAATAAAGTTTGTGGAACAGACTTGCAGACGTTTGAAAAATCCAAAGTCACTGTGACTGTTGTTGTTGTGAGTCTTGTGACATTCATTCGAAAAATTGGCGCGAATTGGTTCACAACCAACCACACACAACTGATCACATTCCGCATGTACGCATAACGTACATCTTGAATGAGGAATTAGTTTGGGAGGCCGGCTAGCACCCATTCAAGATGGGCCCAAAAGTCGGGTTGTTCGGGGTTGCTTTCGCTATGGACTTGCAGAGATTGGGGAAACATATCCAAAATATTTAAGTTCATAGACGTAGGATGATGAAATAAAGCATCAGCAACATAACGAGTATAACAATCCTTCTTGTGCTTCAACTCAAATTCATGTATTTCCATGTCTTGGCATCATCGAGTCGGGCATAGTGTTGAGGTTGGGCTGTCTGTATCCATCGCAAAGCCTGATGATCAAATTTCAAGTGGCGGCCAATAGGTAATGCATCCAATTCTCCAAAGCTACTCGAACCACAAAGAGTTCACATTCGTAGGTGGAGCTGGGGACCTTTCGGGAGTTCAACTTTTGACTCGTGTACTTCATTGGGCGCAACCCAGTCCCATCATCTTGTTGTACAACAACACCAATGCCAAACTGGTTTGCATCGGTGGTCAGGAGACTCAGAACTAGAGGTAGTTTGGGATCAATAATGCCAAGGGGTGACCTAACTCGGTAAAAGAGTCTCCATTGCATGTTGAGATCATGACGTGATGGCGTCTATCTTCGCCACCTTGGCCCAAGGCCAGCAGTTGAGATCCTCTACCCAAGATAAACAACACTGCTGTTCGGACACTAAAATTTCTCTAAGTTGAAGTGCAGCTTCTCCTCCCACATGATATCTAGGACCCCTGGCGAGTGGCGTTCGTATTCCGCCAAAAACTTATAATTGAAAATTGGTATGTCTTCGAGTTATCTGCCTACCACCAGGTTGAAGTCGATCTTGCAGATCAACATAAGGTTGCATTCAAGATGTGCAATGGGTTGAGATAGATCTTGGAGAACACTTTACAGTCGATGGCAGCATCTAGCAGGTTATCAATCTTGGGTAAAGGATAGTTATTTTGTCTTATGATTCTTTTCAATATTTGACAATCAATGCACATTCAAACCACTTTACAGTCGATGGGTGAATCAAGGAGGTTATCTTTCTTGGGTGAAGGATAGTTATTCTGTTTTATGATTGTTTTTAATCCTCGACAATCAATGCACATTCAAACCACTTTACGTACGATGGATGCATCTAGAAGGTTATCAATCCTAGCTAAAAGATAGTTATTTTGTCTTATGATTTTATTTAATCCTACAAAATCAATGCACGTTTGGAACCGCTTATTCTTCTTGGGTACAAACAAGACTGAAACTCCTTACTCAGGCTTACCGGGTTTGATCCATCCTTTACCAAGGAATTTTGTTATCTGCCTTGCAGTTCTTCTTTCTCAGCTGACGTCATGTGTCCACATAGCTCGTAGGAGGCTGGCTTTCGAGTAAGATTTCAATTTGACAACATATTGTGGCACACGATGCGACTCTGCAAGCACTTTCAAATACTCGTTAGAGTCGTTAAGAAGAGACTTGAGATGAAGTGAATGCTGAAGTAGATGAGAAAATAGATGTTGAAGTAGATGATAGATTGGATGTTGAAGCGGATGCTGAAGGAGGAATAGATGAGGTTACAACCGAGGGCTTAAGAAAAATAGCACGCATGCATTTAGTCTTACGATTAAGTTTCCTATATTTTTTTTGCAATGCTTGTATGTAGTTAAAACTTCAAAGTCGCAGAGGGCTCACAATCCTCATTTAACGACACATCGCGGGTTCGACCCTCACAATGTTTCAGGACGATGCAACATTGGCGGTAACATGCAGCACCTCAATGGAGACGGGAAATGACTTTACGCCTGGGTGGATTCCGCGGCCTGGCGAGCAGGACTCTGTAGTTAGCTTCACCATTGCGACACATATTATCGCTCAGGTTGTCGGGACAGTTGTTGCGACAGATGACACTTACCCTGCTCAGGTCAATACGCAATTTGCGGATTTTCTCGGATCAATCCGAACCACGGAAACAACGTCGTTGTCTGGAACTCAGTGCCTTGTGGCAAGCGAGACGACAACATACCTCGGGTCCGACTGCGACAACCAGGAACCATTTTCTGTTCCGCCACATCAGGAAGTTCGGATTAATCCGAACCTGGAGGTCAATACCGTCAAAACAACACACCGGTCTACGAAACTCGAATGGACGGGCCGGGTTTCCGAACACCCTGCCGGCGAAATTCGGATTCATCCGAACCAGGAGGACGTGTCAACTACGACGGCCGATCGGTGTAAGAATGCCGAAATGTTGTGCATGGAAGTCCCCAAGGGGCTGCAGGAAGACCGTTCGTCTTTTGAAGTCGGTATTCAAGACAATGCCATGGAGTCCCTTGAGGATAAGTTAGCGCCCAGTTCCAATCTCAAGTCCCGCACACTCAGAGAGGAATGCCTTGTTACGGTATGCGCTTCGTTGGCAGTTATAACCGACTTTGCGGTAAAAGCGGACACGTCCGCGCCATTAGACTCCGTCGGGACTCGGATTAATTCGAACCTGGGCGACGTGAGCATGTCCATCGGTGACGGTGTTTTGGAGACCGCCGTAATTCGGATGCATCCGAAGCAGACAGTCGCTGGGCTCGAACTGCACGGCGTCGAGGGTTGTGGACATGTCACGACTTTCGACAAAGCGGACGGGTCCTCGCCACTGCACTCCGCCGGGGCTCGGATTGATCCGAATCCCAGCGACGTGAGCATGCCCCTCGATACTTCAGGATATGAGATGCGGCCCGTCGGGTTGGACTAACGAGTCGTATCGGGTTACGAGGACCCCTTGTACTCCGGCCTTCATGACAAGGCTATAGGAAAAATATTCTGACGCTGTTAAAGATGGCTTGTTTTATTTAAGTGAGGACGACAAAGACACTGCACACGAGGACAAGAAGTTTGGGGGGGAAGAAGTGTTATTGGACATCCATGGGACCTTGAGCCCGACACAATACGACACTGGGGCTATGGAGAAAACACAACCTATTAACGTTGTAGACCTCGACTCTTCAAGTCCGGAGAAGAGCGGAATAAAATTGTCCGTCGTGGGCGTGGAGGATTTGCGCTATCGGGAAGAAGTTATGCCGTCTCCAATCATCGACGCCGACATCTCAAACCTATTAAGTTTCCCGGGTGGTTTGGAGCACGTCGTCGTGGCGTCGACGCGCAGACGTTCGCAACTCGTGTTGGGACTACCATCGGTGAACTCTGGTGACTTGGAAGCTAAGCCTGGTAAGCCCTGAATTTCTCTGCTTGCTTCCCGCTCGTCAACCCGTTTGTGAGGTCCTCTTTGCTTCGTTACTCTTGCGAAGTTGTGTTGTCGGTGGATATCTTAACTGACGCTTATTGTAGTCGAACATGGTGTGCTATTTCTTGTACAGGTCGACGAACTCGTGGAGAAACGCACATGTTGTAGGAGCCTTCTGCCCCGCGAAGTTGTCAGTCGTGGTTGCAGGAGGTACTTGACGTGGCGATGTCACCGATTTCTTTTATGGGGACAGGAAGCCTCGGGGGCCTCCCGAACGAGTGGTTGTGCCCATAGTAGGCCCACGCGTGAAAATCGTTGCAGAGGCAGGGGGTGTTACCGAGAAGGACTGCAAGGAAATCCTTCTCGAAGCTTGCAAGGATATAAAGAAGGACAGTGCTAGTTCATAATCAACTGTGTATAGAAGGTCCAGAAGTATGGGTGTCGTTATGTGTGAAATTTTTGGGCCGCCGAGTGGCAGTTTGTCGGGGCCTGGTCGCTAGGGCGACATTTTTTCATAGTCCTCCGTCCTTTGTGCTTGTTGTGTGTTGCGGGTGTTTGTTGAACATGGTTTCCTCGAGATGGAAGAGCAGTCCTTGAAGACATTATTCACTGTCGGTTGTCGCTCACTTTCAACGCTGCGCGTTTGCCGTCACACAATTTACAAGTCTCGATCAAGGACATCGTCATACTCGTGGATGAATATGGGGAGCTGAGCGATGAGGTTGTCAATTTCTACATGGCGATGATACTGGACGACTGCGGCCGGACTGCCGCTGCCATAAAGACGTACACCTTTTAACTCTTTCTTCACCTCTACATTGTTGCTGCAAGGTCCGACAACTGTTAGCAGATGGGCTAAAGATGTCGACGTCCTGTCTCAAAACCTCGTCTTGGCACCAGTGCACAAGGGCGGCGCACACTGGAGTCTTTTGGCCATTGACTTCTCTAGATGTGTTTTGGAAATCTTGGATTCTTTCTCGTGTTCATCGTCCAAAGATGACTTTTATTCCACGCTTTTCGATAAAACTGTTGATTTTTTAAACACGGTGGCGAGTGTCGCCCGTGATGGTCGCACATTCGACCACTTCGCATGCGAGGTCCACGTGAAAGGTGTCCCTCAGCAGCACGACGGGGTTAGTTGTGGGGTATTCATGTTCATGTTCGCTTCCTGTTTGGCGAGAGGTTTACATCCACCTTTTGTTTTTTCCCATAGACACATCTCGTCTATCAGAACTAGACCAGCTTTGGCGATTGCAGTGTTGGTAGGTGAGCTTCTAGCTATTTGTTGTTCACGTAATGTGGAAGGGTTGGCGTAGAAGAATATCTCGTTCTTTTGTGGACAATGATTTCTCCTTTTGTTTTTTCATGAGAGTCTGGTAGGTGTTCTCACATTGGTTCAAACTATGTAGATTCACAACATAAACACAACCGACCCAGTCCAGTAACAACATCAAAGGCAAATTCATCCGTGAGGTAGAAGTCTAGAGAGAGTGTGATATATCCGCCTTTATCAAAAAGGTCGTAGGAATACCTTTGACAAATTTTGAGCAGGTGACAACCGCTCAGTAGCCAACCTCAGTCTGGGAAGGATGTTGCAGTTCCTCAACCTTCATACCAAAGTCCACCTTGCATACGCTGTGCGGGGAAATAGAAGAGGGGAAATAAAATCAATTGTAATCGTGTTGTCAATCAACGCATTAATGTATGTGTGTTTGACCAACAACTGGTGATAGATCAACTACATAGCCGAGTTTGTGAGCATGGAAATGATGTCTTCCTGGTCATTTCAAAGCTATAAGAAAAACGGGATTGTGCAACAATGGTGTCAACCTGCGGTTGGGCTGTAGGTTTAGAGAACAACTTGAACAACCGGTTCATAAACAGGCTCTGACTTGGTGCTGCTAGCTGTTTTTTCCCGTGCACGGAGAGGACTAACATACTTCGTATTCTCGATCTGGGTTTTCCTCAAGACTGAAACACTCCCTCACAAAGTGTCCCTTTGGTTCTTGCAATGTAGGCAACCCCCTTTATCTTGGCATTTCTGTGAAGTTTCTCTTGAAATCTTGTGGGCTTTCCATAAAGAAGATGCTTTGGTCCTACGATATTTCATGATCCTAGCAATTTTGGTCAAGACAAAAGGTTTATTCTTCTTATTTGGATAGTTTGCAGACTCCTTATTACCGATGACTGACTTTTTTTGTACACATTCCACTATGTGTCTTTATGCCCTTGGTCATCCATAGCCTGAGTCAAACACTCCTTTAACTACTCCCAAAGCTGGAAAACTCAGCTCAGAATATACGTTTTCATCTTGCTCCACCATGTTGTCCGACTCGATTTCTGAATCTGTTTGGGAGCCTTCCAGTCTGCAAACGCACCTTCTGACGGAGCTCTCATCAATCCCGTAGCGCAAGGATTTTTCTGAAACCAATCAGAATACTTATCGTTGCCTTACGCATTCTTTGCCGGCTTAGACTGTAGCAATATGTTGATATGGGTTTCCACCAAAGTGGAAAGCAACAATGAATGATCCTCCCCTAGCGACCGGATGAGCTTAAAGCACCAGTACACCACACATCGCGCCGCGGGTGTCAGCACGAAACCCACACCACTTCGGAGGCCGCCAATTTTTTTTTTCAACGGCGCCCCACGCTGCGCGGCCCCTTCGAGTTTTGCTTGTGGCGACAAAAACTTTCTGCAAGGCTGGGACCGTGTACTTGCTGTTTAAAATACGGCTCACCTCCCCCGACCGGGTGACAACTCTTGTTGAGCTTGCCTGGCATGGGCACCACCCTCTTATCATATGAGCTCATATTGATGAGAACAACGACTGCAGAATTTGCTGCAGGCAGAATAGCACCAAAAGTTGGAGGAGAAGGCAGAGGAAAGACGACTTGTGCAACATGAGTAAGAGAGAATCTGTTACGGACTCCGCGAGGGCTCGCTCCCTGGTCTATCTTTTTGTTGTTTCTGCTGCATCCCGTTTTCAGCCTTGCACCCACAACTGGCGCCATGCTGCAATTCGGGCGCCACTTTCAAGTACCGCATTTTTTAGTTCTGCCCTCGTGGCTTTTGCGGAAATGCCCCTGGTACCATACGTGTCACAGGTACTTATACGGGTTCCCCGTACAGTACGGGGACCAGTCTCGTACCAGTTTTCAGTTGCTGTACTCGTACTCAGTGTGACTTTTTGTGTCGGCATTCAGAATCCAAGACTTTGACTTTGTGCCCTTGCCACTGTGTCTGCGTCCGATCCTCAGTTGTGTCGAGTGAGTGAGTGTGTGAGTGTGCTCTCCCTCTCTCCCTCTCTCCCTCTCTCCCCTCTCCCTCGACTCTCACTCAGCCTCGTGCTCGTCACACTGGTATCGGAGCGGTTCGAACCCGCCCGACCCACACTGCTTCGTCGTCACCACCTGGCCATCATCAACATTATCGTCGCGATCGTCGTCGTAGTGCCACGTCACCGGCGTGATCATCGTCGTTGTGCCACGTCATCATCGTCATCGTCGCGATCGTCGTCGTTGGTGCCACGTCGCCATCGTTGCCACGCAGTGCCATCCTCGTCATCGTCGTTGCTACCTCCGCACACATAAGTAGTCGTCGACAATTTTCTTTTTATTTTTTTTTAGTTTTTTTCTTCTTCTTCTTCTTATCCTTATTCTTCTTCGTCGCGACTTAGCTCCCGCTCCCGCGCAACCTCCCCTCCCTGACTCTCGATCTTCCCCTCCCACGCGTCGTTCTTCCCCCGCCTCTCGATCTTCTCCCTATTGCTTTTCCTCTTCTTCTCCTCTTCCTTTTGTCC